AAGCTTCCCAGCACAGCCCAACCCCTGTGTTAGCCATTCTGCTTTTAGGGCCATTTTGGTAAGGAGTCGGCTAGCATTCCGACTGAAATCTGCCACCTCTCGCTCCGTGGCAGCGTTTAACTTGCGAGCGGCAAACCCATCGACTTTTAAAAATGAAGCCTCCCGTGTCAACAGGCTGCTTCGTATGACTGGCACCTGTGTACTGCTTCGTGTCCGTGGCCTTGTCTTGTCCGTGGCCTTCCCAGGGCGCGTTCTCCTCCGGTGTTTTGTAAAGGGACCGATCGGCTTACGGAGCCGTGTCAATAATGAATGATGACATTGTGCTGGGCCGTTGCATTTATTAATAGGGGGGCCTTTTGTTGCAGCTCGGATGTTCGCTATTGGCTGCAGCATGGGCCCGTTGATGCATTACTGGTACCTCTGGTTAGACGGAGCCTTTCCTGCAAGTGGATTAAAAGGGATGAAAATTGTCCTGAAGAAAGTCTTCATTGACCAGATAGTAGCATCTCCAGCCTTGGGAATCTGGTATTTTCTAGGTAAAACGTTTTCTGTCGCTTTGTGTCATGTGATCATTCAAACATGTCCTTCCTGAGACTCTTCTGCATCACGCTGGCCTGTCGTTGGCTGTGAGGGGGCCAGGCCTGCTCCTTACACTTGCAGTGGTCTTCCCTCCTGGCTGGGAGGTGCATTGTCTGGGCTCTATTCCAGCATGTGCATTAAGCAGCTGCATTTGCATGACTCGGAGAATTAAGCCTCCTCCAGCTAGCCCTGTTTTCCCTTTAGCCCAGTGGGTGTGGGGTTGTACCGCCCCATGGAGCTAATGGGAAGAACAGAGTCCTTAGGAGACATGGTCTGTCCTGAAGAACACCGCGCTCACGGCACGGCATGCTGAATGAAAGCACAGCCCATGCCTGCTCCCTCGGGAGAAGAAAATACAGCTGGAAAGCAAGCCCCCTGGCGCTGGGATCACGCTTGCTGGCTAAGTGCCTCCAAGATGTCATCTCAGAAGCTGTAGCGACCCCATGGGGGTGGGAACCAGGCTTCTAATAAAGCATCTAAGGAGCCACGGTTGTTTGCTCACTGCAGCCGCTTGTGCCTTGTACAGGGATGGGGTCGCTGGAGGGGCAGAGGCTGGAGGAAAGCTGGGACGAACTCAGAGAGAAGTTCTGGGAATTTTACAAGGTAAGGCTGCTCCCAGGCCCCTGTTGGCTCTCTCCCCCCTCCCCCTCCTTTCATAATACCTGATTCTCATTCCCAGGCAGACTGGTGCGTCTGGCCAGCAGCTCAGCTGATTAACTTCCTGTTCCTGCCTCCCAAGTATCGGGTGATCTACGTGAATGTGGTGACGTTGGGCTGGGACACGTACCTCTCCTATCTCAAACACAGGGTCAGTATTACCCGCACCCCAGCCTCTAATCCCTGGTGTTGGAGCCTTTGCAGCTCCAGCCAATGCATCCCAGTTGAGTCAGTTTCTTCTTTTGCGTCTGTAGCCCAAGCCGCTGCTCGGTGCCGAGGCTGAGCTGAAGAGCCGCACTGGGGTACGGACTGTGGGCTGACAAGCTGTTCCCTGCTTGGTTTCCATCTGTTCCTGCGAGACGCCCATCACGTACAGATTCCAGCTTTGTTCCTGGGGGAGGAAGCTGGCTCCCACGCAGACCTGAAAAAATAGCTTGATCAAGTGACCAAAATTCGTCCTGGAGACAAATCACTCCCCTTGTCCTGTGATTGACTTGTCCTGAGGATCGTGGAAGAGAAATGCAGGGGAGAGGTCTGCGTCTCTCTGCCGTAGCATTTCACTTGCCAACCGCAAACCCAATGACTTTTTTAAATGAAGAATCACGTGGCGGCAGACTGCCTAATAGGAATGACATTCCTCTTCGCATCTGCAACTAGGTGTCAGAGTGAGCAGAGCGCCTTAAAATAATCCCATGACTTGGAGCCAATTTAATTTATTCTCCCTGTGTGTTCTAGCTGCGTTGCGCTAGAAACGAGGCTGTGCCTAAATGTCACTTTATAAAAAATTAAATGAGATCTCGATGATGCAGCTTGTCTCTTGAAACAGGACCTGCGTCCTAGCATGGGCATGTAAAACTCCCCCCCAGGGGGAAGGAGGCTGCTCACTTAAAACAGGAGCCATGGGGGTGCTAATGAAGAAACCAGATACTCCGCCTTCTTTGCAGCCAGCGTTAGTGGTCGCAAACACCTGTTCTAGCTCAGCTTCAGCCTAACCTGGCTGCCGCGCTCACACATCAGTAGTCTAAGAGGTTCCTCGGGCTTGAGGAGGGACCTAGACCAGCCAGACCCAGTTTTGTGCCAAAAGTTCAGGCTTTAGAGCAGACAGCAAAGGAGTAGATGAGGCCCCTTCCCACCCCAGACTAGACTGAGCACAGCAGCAGCTCTTTGGCCTAGCAGAGCAAACGGCAGGTCCAGGACAGGTGCACGGGTCTTGCACATGGACACCTCTGCTTTAAGACTAGCTCTTATCTCCTCTCTGAGTTGGTGGTTCTCCCCCTCCCCCCCACCTGGCTGCCGAAAAGGAGCCCGAACGACTTTGTGATCAGCATTTATTTATTTCTTCACAACAGCTCTTGAATACAGTGATCTTTAGGAAACTGGACTTTGACACTTTTGACATTTTTACAGTACAGCAGAGGGTTTGGTTTTTTCCATATAAGTCAACGTCACAAAAACCAGAGGTCGGAGGTGTGTGTGTCTGTGTCTGTGTGTTTAGGGAGCTGTAAACAAAAGAGTGTTCTCCAAGAAAAAAATAAATAGAGGGAAGCAACGCGCCAGGTTTGGTCATTGATAGAATTCTATCTATGGCTTCACAGTCTCCACAATAAGCACATTACTATAGTAACAGACAAGGAGCCACGAGGCCTGTAACAAACTAGCTCCATTCGGTTAACCCCACCCCCAGCCCGGCATGGGTCAGCGGTTCTGGGGTTGTTTCCTTGCTTGACCCAAGCCGTTCACATTTTTCCAGGGGTCAGTCGCCGCCGCCTTGGGGCTAGTTTGGCATTGCCCATGGCCCTTGCTCAGCTTGGTTTTTAAATAATAGATTTAAAAGTGATATTCACAAGCAGGCTAATACCACACTGCTAAAATAAATACATCCGCACAACCACAGCACGGCACACGAGGGGCACTGGCTACTTCTATTTACAGGAAGGTTGTTTCTATGTACAAGGAGGAAGACAAGCAGGAGCATAAATTAGCATCTATTTATACAATAAACAAGAGTCAGGAACGAGCCATCCCTGGTGGGGAGAGTGGCGCAACAAAGGCCAAGCGGCTCGCCAGCCAGCCGGCGCTAGCAGCGGGCTCGGCTCCTCTGTGCTAGCAAGGAGAACAAGCGCAGGGGAGGTGCAAAGACAGGGCTGGAACACATCTCTACGAAGAACAGAACCCCCTGCCCTCACGCCTCATTGGGATCTTGTTGCACCCTTTGTCAGGGTTACCATCCACACACACCCCCCCCCACCCGGGGGCTGACTGAGATGCAAGCCCAGCGCGTCACCCCTCTGGCTGCACTACAGCTAAGGGAGCGGGGGTCTCTGGTGCCGTGAGCATCAGGAGATGCTCCCCCACGAAGACTCCAGCCCTTTAAGCTGCTGTCCCCTGAGCAGGGCTCCTCCCACGCAGCAGCAGGCCTCCAGCTGGGAGGGAAGGAAGGAAGGAAGCTAACAAACACATTGGCCAAGCCCAGGCAGCGGCTCAGTGCATGATTCTGCAATTAACCCCACAAGCCCGCCAGCCAAGTAGTTGCAAGTCAGGGGCCGGCTCGGGAACTAGTTAAAGGCAAACAACAGTGTCTCCTACCATCAGGGGTGAGAAAAACTGGAGGGGATGGAAACACCCATGGAGCCTGCAGACTCTGAGGGTGGCCAGAGCCCTTTCAAGCCCTGCCAGGTGTCAGCGGAAGGACCATTCCGCTCTGGGCCATCCCAGCAGACCTAGACACTGGGGGCATTCAAGTGGGAACAGAAGGGAGTGTAAGGAGGGTGCTGGTTACTCAGAGGGGGTAACATGGCCTACGCGGGCAGGGGGTGCCGTACTGCAGTCTCTAACAGGCACAGTCCTGGTGGGGAGGGACTTGCTGGTCAGTCAGCTGTGGTCCTTGTTTAGCACCGGACACGGCTGGATCCGCCGTGTCGAGGGACTCAGACATCTTCTCGCAGATGATGTCGACGAGCCGCTCGAAGGTCTGCTTGACGTTGATATTGTCCTTGGCGCTGGCTTCGAAGAACTCAAAACCTGGCCCGAAGGGAGAGGGGAGAGCGTGAGACTGGGGGGGCCAGGAGGGACGTGGGGCAAGGCAGGGCCTCTGTTTGCTAACAGGGCCCCTGCCACACACGTCACCAAAAAAAGGCCCCGGTGGGAGGCTGAGCTGGGATAGAGACCCAAGAAATGACTGAGATCCTGGAAATTGCTTTTACCCGGCCCCAAACGGCCGTGGAAAACAAGCAGCCGGCCAGCCTGTTTTATTGAGCTGCGGCCCACGAGGCTGGCCTGGCTCTGCTGAAAGGCCTGCGAGTCCCGCTCCGGCACCCAGGCCCCATGACAGGAGCTGCTGAGGCAAGTGAACCAGGCCAGGCACCTTGGCCAGCCCAGCGGCTGACATGCGCTGCCATCCAGGACGGGACTTCCAAGGGTCAGCACTTGGCATCTCTAGAGCCAAATGTTTTCTGTGCAGCCAGGGGAGAGGCCTTCACCCACAAAGCCAGGTAGTGCCTAGTGCTCTTTCCTAAGCAGCTGGAGCATGACTGAGCGTGTAATGCCTGGGGGTGGGGGCTAGAAGCCAGCCCCCGATACGAATTGCTTGTAAACGTCAGTTGAACTGCTGGGGTTGCTTCCTGGCCGGCAGAGCCAACGTGCAGGGCAGCTGCAAGCTGTGCAGGCACCGGCAGGCTGCAACCAGGCCATGCCACGCTCACGAGCAAGCTGGAAAGCCTGGGATTCTGGTAAAGGGTTTGTATCTCCCCTCTGGGCTGTTCCATTGCAGGGAAAAGGGTTTCATGTTAAATCCACAGAACTTGCCCCCATGGTCTCCCTGGATATAACCTGCTCACGAACCCACCCAAGCCGCCTGGTCTTCCAGCCACTTCACAGCTGCCAAGTGCAGGGTTTCTAGGGTTGTTCTAATAGATAATAGGCAGAGTGCTGGAAACACTGGGGCTATGTCTACACTCATGGCTTCTTGCACGAGTAATATGCAAATGAGGCTAAGCGTGGAACATCGCCGAGCCTCATTTGCATACCTAACGAGCCTTTTTTTTTTTTTTCAGAAGAGACTCTTGCGCACGAAGGAGCGTCGACACTGCCCCTTCTTGCGCAAGAGCTGCTTCTGAAAAAAATGGTGGCTCATCAGGTATGCAAATGAGGCTCGGCGATATTCCACGCTTAGCCTCATTTGCATATTGCTCGCGCAGGAAGCTGCGAGTGTAGACATAGCCTGGCTGGGCCATTACAGTTTTTATGAGAAGAGCTGCAGCTGCTACTTAATGGCAGAACTCTCTCACGTGCCTTGAGTCTGAACGTGGGGAAAGAAACGCAGCGTCCGCCCCACGCCCACCAGGCCCCTAAAGGACCTGCACCGTTCCATCGCTCAGCGCAAGAGCGGACGCCTTTGTCCACCCATTCCCATGGCCCGACGGCCTCCCCATGGTGTTTTGAACAGCTCCTGTGCAAGGCAGCACCCGGCACCGACCGCCAGGCAACGCCTGGAGCCCCGGCAGAGGCTCAAACAAAGCCAAGCCCGGACAGTATCCCAAAGCCGCCAGGACTCACCCAGGTGCTCCGCCAGCTGGCGCCCTCTCTCCGACGCCACAACGCGCTCGTCCTCCATGTCGCACTTGTTGCCCACCAGCAGCACCTGTGCGTTATCCCAGGAGTAGGTCTTGATCTGGGTGGACCTTGAAGCCGCCGCCGGGGAACAGAGAACCACGGTATTACGACAGCCGGGCGGCACGTGACAGCGGCCCAGGGGGCTCAAGGCACAACATGGCCCTGGGCGGAGCGCTGCCAGGCTGTGCTTGATTTAGGAGCCTTCTCTCCTTTTCAGAAGTGATTTAGGCACTTAGAGCCCAAATCCCACCGACGGTCAATGCCATTTAAGCCCCGAAAGCGGTGGGGTATTGCCGTGCTGCGCATAGCAACACGTCCAAGGCTCTCGGCTCAAGAGCTCCACAATCCCAGGAGGGACGGGAGTCTGGTTCTCCGGCCCTTTCGCCTTCACCCCGTTTACGTCAAGCCATCAAAGCCAGGCCGCCGGGGGCACCTCCCCGAGCGACACAGAGACCCACCCCAACTGCACCCAGAGAGTGAAGAAACCGGCAAAGTAGGACGAGAGCTACGGAGGCAGCGGATACGAGGCAGAGACAGTAACTGGAGGAGCCAGCAGCGAGCGACACGGGTGGTCAGCGCCCCACCTGCTCTGTGCCAAGCACCAGTGTGTGGGGGGGAGGATTTTGGTCACTACCCGTCTCGGACCCAGCCTCCTACAGGAGAGCTCTGACCCAGGCACCAGCAGGTGCACAGGCTCAGCCTAGCACAGGGAGAGGAGGCGACCCAGTGAGCTGTGCCCATCTGTGGGACTTTCCCCGGACACAGCAGGACGAGGAGGGACAGGGGGTAAATTTCTGAGATTCTCAGTGACCCGGGGCTGAACGCAGAGCCTGGGGAAGCGGGAACCAGGCCCCGCCAGACTGACAGGCCCCTCTCCCAATGCGCTCGGGGAAGTGCCAGCCAGGCGCAGCGCCAATGGGACACGTTCCAGCCTGGACTAGGCCGGCTCCAGAGATGGCACTGGCTCAGGGCAGCTCTCCCGGCTGGCTGCAGGGACGTTCCTCTGAACGCAGCTCCTTGTGGGCTGGGGGCCTGAAATGCCAGCAAAGGCTGCACCTAATTTGGCCCAGGGGCAGCCACGGCCTATGCGGGCGGGTGAGTTTGACAGCAGAGCTCGGGAGGCCGGCCCGCGGGGGGCGGAGGGGGTGCCAGGCTGCCAGCATTGCCGCAGCAGGAGCGAAAGCACCGAGCCAAGCGACCTGGGCAGAGGCAGAGGGTGGGGAGAAGCTCCCAGGCCGATGGGCCCTGTCTGCCAGAGAGGTTTATCTCCGGGGACACAAACTGGGGGGCATCCCAGGCCAGGCCGGTTCCTGGACCCACCCCACAGAGATATGGGGGGGAGGAATGCAGAGACGTCCAGCAGCCAGGCCCAGGGCTGGAACCGTGCAGAGTCCGAGATGCAGCCCCAAGAGCTGGCAGGGGGCACAGGCACCAGTGGGTGGGGGGTTCCCTTAGCAGAAGGCAGGGGAAGATCACACATGGCCAAGAAGGCAGCAGCCCCGGGGGCAGCTGGCAGCAGTCAGGCGCAGCAAGGAGAGGCTACGAGGACAGCACAGCCGTCCTGCGCAGGGGGAGCTCCCCACGGCTGTGCTGGGGAGGGGTCCTGGCTACGCACGTCAGCTGGTGTGTCCAGGCGCGAGGCCGAGCCGAAGCGCACAGCTAGACACCAGACGCTGCATCCCAGCCACGCACGAGGGGCGCACAATGGGGGGAGGGAATGGCTCCCCTGCCCCCCAGCCTCACCGGCCCGGCACGAGGCTCAGCCTGGCGTTCCCACCGCGGGGCTCCCCCGCTCACCAGTCCTGCACGGCGTTGAAGGACTCCTCGTTGGTGATGTCGTACATCAGGATGAAGCCCATGGCCCCCCGGTAGTAGGCGGTGGTGATGGTCCGGTACCTCTCCTGGCCCGCGGTGTCCTGGGGAGACCAGAGCAGGGTCACTCGGGGGGCAGCAAGGCTGGGAGCTGCTCGGAGCCATTCTAGGGTCGCTTGGAGTCACCGTCCTGCAGCCTGGGCCAGGCCGGGGACAGCCCAGAGTCAGGCCCGGGGCCGTGCTACCCGAGCTCAGGGCAGGGAAGAGGTGGGAATCCGCCCACCCACCATAGCTCCTGTGCGGCGCAGGCTCCAGACTTTGAGGCTGCTGAGCCCCATCCAGAATGAACTAGGGCCCGGAGCCAGGCCAGTGCATCCCCCTGCCCCATACGGAGTCTCTGGGCTGGGGGAGCACAGGACACAGCAGAGCGCTGCTCACACACGCACCCCACAGGGAGATCCCACGGAGCAACTCGGCATGTACCACGGGCAAGGCGGGGCCTCCAGGGAGCCCTGCCGTGGGGTGGGGGGAACCACGGCTCTCTCTTCTTGGGGGTGCCCAAGGCGGCTGTGGGGCTCCCTGCCGCCGAGCGGCCTGCAAATCTCCACGGCAACCCGGCCCTGTGCCACACGCCGCGGCCCAGCTCCCGGCACGGGCTGTGCTTTGCTGCCTCCCACGGGCGACTCTCGCAGCCAGAGCTGGTGGGCCCAGGCACCCTCCCGGCCCAGCCCTGCACGTGGCCGCCCCGAGAGCAGAGACGGCAGCCAGCAAGCATCATAGCGATGCCTGCAGACCCCTCCGGCCACGGCAGCCCCTGCCCCACGCCTCCAGCCACTGCTACAGCCTCCCGCCCTCCTCGTGAGCAGCTGGGCTGAGAACAGAGCCCGGACTCCTGGCTCAGTCCCTGTTCTAACCACTAACTTTTAAAAAACCCACCTCAAGTGACCAGCCGACCACAGCGCCCGTGTGAAGTAACTGGCCCACCCGGGGGTCTCTCGGGACAGAGAGCCCCCCTGGGCCCTGCACTAGCTGGGGCATGGTGTGTCAGTGCCAAGGAGCTGGGCTGCAGAGGGGCCAGGAGGTGCTGGGACTGTCCTTCCCAGGGAGCACTGCGGGGAGAGGCCGGGCCAGGCGCTCCCGACACACCTGCCTCTCACTGGCTTGGCTTTTCGTTTGACCGGCTCGTGGGAACGGGGTGCCCAGCGGTAGCTGGGGGGCAGAGCAGGCGCCCTAAGCCAGCGTGGGCCCTGCTGGTCGGGTAGAGGGCCAGAAGGCAGGCTGTGGGGTCGACAAAACCCGCAGTTTCCAGCACAAGCCCCTGTTCAGCCCAGGCCAGGCTGCTCTGTGCCGGGTCTCAGAGTCCTTGGGGGGCACCCGCCATAGAACCCACAGCCCCTGCAGGCGGCAGAGCGACCCTCCGGCTTCCCACCCTGCCCGGCCATTCTCCAGAGCTCAGAGCAGCCGGGCTGCTGCCCCTCCCGACACACCCCGACAGGGGACGGGCAGATCGCAGGAACCCAGGGAAGGACAGGGGTGTGGCTCTGTGCCTGGAAACCACTGAACATCCTGGGCACCGGAGCCTTCCACAACGTGGCAGGGCAGGGCCACCCCACGGGCACCCCCGTCCAGGCCGGGGGCC